TAGCGTATCATTGACTTTGCGTAAAAATAATTTTTGCTAGATATATGCTACTTAATGCAAGGATTGTAATTGGCTTATTTTTGTTATCGTGGCAAATGAGACGATGATTAAAAATTGATTGCATTGAAGTTTGAAAGGAATTATGAAATCCCGTGAGATGAATGATAACCTTGGAATTAAAATCAAACCTTTTAACCAATATTTTTTCTCGATATATAACCTTCATCTCCAAAACATAAATTAGAAGATTTTTCACGGTTTCTCATTAGCATAATAAGAACCCTCAACCTATATTACAAATTTATGGTTCAGTATCTCATATCCCTGATTCCATAATGGTGTTCAAGATTTTTTTTAATATGCATTTCACCGAATCAAGCCTCAATATTGCCTTGAAGTGAGCATGGACTATCAAAATTCAAATATGTCTTCATTTTTCCATGCATCAATGAAATCATACACTTATTGATAAGTTCAACTGTTCTACAACATTATTTATTCCTGTCAAAATAGACATTTGCTGAAAATATAATGGAGTAGACATATTATCCAGAGATGATGGATACGTGCCGACAACAATTGAAGTAATAAGAACATCTCGAGTGACAATAAATATATCATCGGATATACTAATGAAGACATCTCCATTTCTGACATTCTCAATATTTTCATTTCCTATTTTGAGTACTAAAGCTGAGAAACATTTCAATTCATCGCCTTTACATTGTGAAGAACCACATCACAGACTCATTTTCTGTTGAAGTGATAACATGACAATGTCTCCAAAGTTAATAGCAATCATATTGAGAAACTTTCAAAATTGATGTCATATCACAACATCATATGCAACACCTTTATAGCTTTCATTGGGCGGAAAAAAACACTACCTTAATTATAAAAATAATGATTATTGTGAGGAAATATTGAAAATTATAAAAATTTGAATGCATTAAGCAATCAAAGCTAAATGTGTGTCCTATTTTCAATAGCATAAAATAGTGAAATATTTTTCCTATTTAGAGCCCGTATGGTAATATCGAAATTGACCAAATCAACTAATTCTGCTAAAATTGATGAAGTTCTGGCTGAAACAATTGAATCCACTGAATTAGAAAAATTATATTAAAAATATATGTCATTAATTAAATAATGACAAAATTATATGAAAATATAGCTAAAATAGCTTTTAAAGTAATTTCAGTAAATTCAATCAGAAAGATAACTATAACCTTACCTATTTTGATTATTACACATTTAATGTGCAAAATCAAAAATTATGTGTATAATGAAAAAATTGGCTCTTATGATCAATAAGCCGAAAAATGGATTAAGAGGGACATGCTACTTACAAAACAATTTCAATTTTCAAAAAAAAAAAATACTTACGTTGCATGTAGACTACATGCTGAAATAATTGATGTAGTAATAATAGGAGGGTGAATATGGATACAATTTTATATGGAAATTTAATTACGATTTCTTTCTAAATAATTCCTTTTCTTTGAGAGAGAACTAATTCCTTATTATGCTAAAATAAAGATTCACCATGAGACAAATTACTGTAATATATAGAAGTTACCTAAATCTATCAAATTGTTCTTCATACGTACATTATTACTACATTTGATACAATTAATACATACACTTAATATAATTAATTACCTTTTTTTTTTGAAGAATTTCCTATTTTGCCCTTATTTTAGGTGGGATTTTTCCCTCCATTCGTTGCCCCAACTCTGTTACTCTATATTATATAAAGATAAAGATAAAGATTCATAAATATATTTTAAATATAATTTGTTTGCAAATTAGTAGAATTAGCTAATCCACCACTTCAGCTAGAAGTTCATAAATCCCAGTAAAATCAGCCAATTCAATCAATTTCAGTGTCATCAAACGAGATCTAAATTAAATTAAGTAAGGACATCACACTACTTATTTTTCTAATATTTAGCCAACAATTTAATATGAATGGAAGTTTTTCCTGAAAATTTACTAATAAAAAGTAGTATAAAAATGTGACTTGATAACTATTAGTGACTATAATTATATTCAATGTTTACAGCATAATGACTGCATCATAGTAACTTCAAATACAATTATGATCACTAAAAATTATCAAGTCACATCTTTGTTCACCATTTTTCTAGCACTAATATTAGTGGGATTTTTTCTTTTAAAAAAGATATCTTTTTTTTTTTTAAATAAAACGTTTATAAAAAAGGAAAAAATTACAAATTGACTTTTACAGAATTCGTTTCTTGACTTGATCATGATTTCAGACTTCATGTTTTACATTTTTTTTACTGCATAATACGTAGTAATACATACTTTATATATATACATTCCTACAAATTTTTTTCCATTTATGAATGATTCAAAAAAAACGTATGATCCTTCTTTCCATCCAATGATGCAAATTAGTTTCCATTTATGTCTACTTTTTTGGGCGGCAAAGTTGGAGCCAAAAATAGTGACCACTTTGCTACTTTATATAATATAAAGATAAAGATAAAGATTGCTCTTCGAATATTAATAATTTGTCTTTCCTAACTCTTTTCGGCTTATATTAATTACTCCTCCGTCCCAGGGACAAGTTCTCACTTTCCTTTTTTGGCAGTCCCAACAAAAAGTTCTCATTTCCCTAAATGGAAAGTTATCATACATCAAAACAGTACCACAATGCCAAACAGTGTCGAAACAGTGTTAGAAATATATGCTAACGTATTTGCTATGATCAATGATCATGTAAATGATTCATTGATTCTTTCACATTGTTTATATTAACTCTCAACTATTAATGATGTTTTCTTTTGGACTGTTTTCAGTCCCAGATCAGACCAGACCAGACTTAAACAGACCAGACCAGACCAGACCAGACTTAAACAGACCAGACCAGACCAGACCAGACTTAAACAGACCAGACCAGACCAGACCAGACTTCCGTAGTTATAAAATACACAAAGACCAGACGTTTACCAGACCAGACCAGACCAGACCAGACCAGACCAGACTTAAACAAACCAGACCAGACCAGACCAGACTTAAACAGACCAGACCAGACCAGACCAGACCAGCAAATTTCAGTCCAAAAGAAAACATCCTAAGTCATCAATCACCGATCAAGTATGAAAGTATAATAATAAACCTAGAATGCATTGGTGGCCTACACATTCCTCCCATACGTTTTTAAGACCATGCAGTAACTTAATGTGTTTTCTCAATTGTCATTAATTACTCACAGCCCGAATTATTGAAGAAGTATTTTAGTACAACCGATAGTTTTAATTGGAATCTTTATATCTTTATACATATCTTTATCTTTATCTTTATACATATAAAGAGAACATGGTGGAGATCCAAATAGAAATCTATTTGGAGCCAAACGAAGTGAAAAATTGTTGTCACTATTAATGAAGCATTACTTAATGAACCCATATAAAATTTCAGCTAAAAATTCAACCGGGAAGGCAATCAAATGATTTTTTGAAGATAACTGCGTAGTTAAACAACGCAGTACATTTCGGAAAATCATTTGACTGCCTTCCCGATTTAATTTTTAGCTGAAATTTTCTATGGGTAAACTAGACTTAATGAAAAACATGCTAAAAAAATTTCATCAAAAAATTCCACTGGGAACCTCTCCAATTGGTGATGGTCGGGCTGAACCTTCTATATAAGGGGCCAATTGAACATTTTAAGATAGTTCAAGAACCTATTTGACCATTTAGCCGCCAAAAATAAATAGTTGCCACATGGTGCGCCACGTGTCATGCCACGCCTATGGCTAACCTGGAAACCTGTTGGTAAGCTGCTAATCCGCCTAATTGAGCGTTTTTTAAGAGTTGAAGGGTTTAATTGGGTGTTTTCAAAGTACGAGGGTTTAATTGACTTTTCCCATATAATACAGGGACCTATTTCAAACACATAGGGCATTTTTGGCACAACTAGCTGAAAAGATACGTTTACAGACTTTTTATTAATTGTTAGCTTTTAGTGACTGAAATGATCTTAAAAGTAAAAGGTGGTAGCTGTTTGGTAAAAAGTACAGTTGTTTGTTTGATTTAGTTTTGTTTGGTGTACAAGCTGTTAGGACGAATTAATACTAAAAGTCACACGCTTTTCTCAGATGCTACTCCCTATAGCATCTCGAAGAACATCTTTTAATTTTTGAAAAACTCTTAAAAATTGTCATGTCAAACATACAACCAGAAGCTTTTAGAGACTTTTTAAATAGTACAAACGCCAGAAGATAGAGACTTATGTCTGCTAAACATGCTCATAATCGTATATGAAAACAGGCCCAGCCACAAGTATTTTTTCCGTATTTTCCCCTTTAAAATATTTTAAATTAATTAATCCTATTTTAGAAAAAAAGTAATTACGTATATTTTAATCTTTAATTGATCCTGCTTTTAGAAACAAGTTACTACGTGTATTTTAATCCTTAATTGATCCTATTTTAAAATATAGGGAAAATATATTCAATTAAGATGATTTTTTTGGACTATTTTCAGTTCAAGACCAAACTTAAAAATGCCAAATTGGATCACACTGGACTTAAACAAAGCTGACCATACTTCCAAAATTATAAAATATACAAAGACCAGACAATTACCAGACTAAATCAGATCAAATTTAAAACAAATTTCAATCTAAAAGAAAAACATACTTATCCTATACTGGTATGTAGTATCTGAATCTCCCCATCTTTTTTTGACAAACCTACGGCCTCTCAAAAAAAAGAGTTTTGCTATAGGTACCCCCAAAATGGGGTACCCCATTTGTCCCCCACCCTATTGGGTGGCCACAAATGAGCCAACCCATTTAAGTGGTGCCCCACTTAAATGAGTTGCCTCATTTGTGGCCACCCAATAGGGTGGGGGACAAATGGGGTACCCCATTTTGGGGTACCTTTAGCTTTTTCCCAAAAAAAAAAAGCAGCCCATAACAAATCCTAGTACTAATGCAACTGCAGTTTCATATCCGATGTACTCCGTGTTTAAATATCCATATTACATGCGAAAAGCATAATTTATACTCCGTATAGACTTAGCTTGGAAGAGTGAGAGAAGCGCAACTAGTGTAGCAAAGCCGATGGCGGACGGCCCAGGAAAGGAGAGGAGGAGGGCAATGAACAACGTTTTCTCTAACGATTTGTTGCTGGAGATCCTGCATCGTATTCCGGCCAAATCGGCCGTGCGGTGTAAAGCGGTGTGCAAGCGGTGGCGAAACCTAATTTCGACCCATTTTTTCATGGATCTTTTTTGTTCTCACCACCCTCTTCGCGAGGGCAAAGAGGAGTGCTTGGCCACCGGCTGCTCCACCAAGATTCATATGTTCCTGATTCATCCCCACTTTGAGCCCGATTTTTCTCTGGACTTCCTTCCCTTTTTTGAAGCTGCAAAAGATTCGAAATTCATCCTGGGGTTCAGCAATGGATTACTCTTGTGCAACCCAGACCCGAAAGATCAGATCTTTTACTACATATGCAACCCAATCACGAAGAACTGGGTCAGTCTCCCTGCAGCGCCGGCGGTGCATGAAGATCTAGATATATCGGTGGGTTTCGCCCATTACCCGGATCTTTCCTGCCCTGGCTTCAAGATTGTCCGAGTTCTTCCGCCCCTGAACACCAAACCGGTCTCAGATTTTGAAGTCGACATCTTTTGTTCCTGGACAGGAACTTGGACCAGGCGGACGGTGACATCTCCCAAGCCCATTACCTGGGTGCGCCTAGTAGTGTTGCCTCCTGCCGTTTTTTACAGAGGCTGTCTGCATTGGTTGATCAGGGACTTTCATACGATTGTTTACGATGTGAAGAATGACAAGATCAATTTTATTGTGGATCGGCCAAATGGCCTGGTGGAGTTTTGGGGGATGGATTTATATGGTTTCAGTCTATGCGGCGGCTTGTTTTACGTCGCTCAACTGCATTATACCGTTTTGATAATATGGCAGCTGAATCACAACGAGTGGACTATGAAGCGAAAGGTTAATCTGGAAGAAGAAAGCAGTATCAGATTCGGGCGTGAGTGGCTAATGTGTTTATCAACTCCATGCCAAAATTTGCTTCTCCATCCCTACGATATTGATGTTTTTTATGTAGGTAGTAGTTAAGGTCGGGCTTTATCTTGCAATTTGAGAAGCAAAACTTTGAAACCCTTTTGCAACACACATTTCACCATGTTTACATATAGCCTCATGCTTCCGCTCTGGCCAGCTTCCATACCCCAAATTCTCAATTTGTAACTTAACTGCCTGGCTTTTGTGACTATATACATTGATGGAACTTGTTGTACTAGTATTAATTATATATTTATATGGCCTTGAGTATTATACTTTTCTTTATTCTTTATATAAAAATAATATACATTCGTCCATCTTCTATCACCCTTGTGCGCGTGCCCCCTCCCTCCCTCCCCTTTGCACCTCATTATGATTTTCCTTAGATCTATCACTGTAATGGGTGTTGTGGTATGAAGCTTGCTCTCAGGCCTCAACTATGAGTTTCCCATAATTGGGTTTTTAGGATGTTTATAATTGTGTTGATTATTAATGTCTACTACATGTGTAGTTTACAATTTCAGAAGATTTATTGAAGATTGACATTGATAGTAAATTAGATAACATATTCATCTCTAAATAAAGAGGCTACACTTAATACTAGTAGAATAGTTCTCTTGGGGAAGATGCATGCTCTCGTGAAATCCTTAATCAAAACTACTGTTGTTTTTTGCAATGTAAAGGATGAAACATTGCAACTGTTACGCAGGGAGGTCAATTTTTTCAAATGTATAGTCCTTTTTCAAATGTATAAAGGGCGAATATATTCATTAGGTCCCCTATCATTATTAACTCTCCCAATACCAAGTTTGTAGCTTAGTTCTCCCTCCGTCTCGAATTATAAGTTACTTTTCGGTTTACGATGTTTGACTGACGATAAAGCAAACAGATTTCTGTTTGCACTCAAATTATTTTTGGAAAAAAAATTACATATTTAGAAACCACATCAAAAACTTTACAAAGTCGCAAAAACCAGAATCAAATTTATTAAAAATTTGATATATAAAGTAAGAAGTTAAGAGTGATTTGTGCTCACTAAGTGAATAGTAAAAACATCTTAAAAATGGGATCGAGGGGTATTATTTTTCCTCTCATTTATGCATTAAACACATTGACGAAATATAATATCTTCTTCCGTCATATTCAAACAATTCAACATTCTCACTTTCTTCTTTATTTACCTTCTTTATTTATTAAATTCAAGTATCAAGCATGACTCTCTATTTAGGAAATAATAAATTAAAATTGATACTATGTGGATGTCCTAATTTGTACTGATCATATTAAGCACTATATTTTATAACTTGAAGTGTAACTCTGTTTTATTTGACAAGGGATCAAGGAAGAAAATTTTGCAAAAGAGAAAAATGAAAGGAAAAATGTAAACTACAAGAATTATTCACTAATACGAATAATGAATTGTATTGACTGTTGTAAATTGTAAAATGAAATTGTATGCTGTAATCTTTTGTCCTTCCGTTTGTGCTTTGGGTAACACCTAAGTCTTTCAAGCCTTATATGTCGACTCATGTTAATCTAAGCTCTTTAATTAATTAATTACCTTAATTGAGAATAACTGAATAAGTATTCAGTATTCCATTACTTGTGAAACCATACCATGTTTTGAATACCCTGCCTAATTTATCACAATAATATTCAGGAAAATACTACAACTATTAATTACAATTATTTAATGCATAGTGTAATTACTATTTGTTGGGATATTAGGTCCGACAAGAGGCCGGCCCAAAGACCACCATGGGCCCAACCAGCCTAAGGATAGGGATGACTTCGCTCAAGGCATGGGTTGGATCGGCCGAACTACCTATCTCGTCCGGAACTAATGCATTGCTCGAGAGTCGAGACGAAGTATCTCAAATGAGATCAACACTTACATTAATTTACCAAAGCATTTGGCAAGAAAGCTAGAACTAACGAGAAGCGCTTTAAATGCACCAGATGTGGTGCCACATAAATACTCACATTTATTTCATTGAAAGATGTTGACAAACTTGCATTCAATGACTTGGTCTCTCTTACTCTTTCTATAGCATTCAACATAATTTAGAAGTTAGAGGTTCGAGCTTTGGTAAGGGTGTGTTGTAACTTGTAAGTGTTCTACTCATTAAATACGCACCGTATGCACTTTACCCTCTTCCTTGTTTGCTTTATATCATTTCCACCGTCTCACTAGACGATCACCTAAATATATTCATTATCTAACGAAACCTGAGAGATTGTATTAGGCTCTTGGAGTGCGAAGGCATCAACCCCAACACCGGCGCCATACACATATGGGAAATTTGAACAAAACTTTCCGAGCAAGCACTTCGTGCTAAACAACACCCTTGAAAGCTATATACAACAAACTATCAGAAAATGGCCCGACCATGTTCTCACCACACCGAAGACCTGTCTAACCGCCTCCACGCGAGAAGGTTGTCTTGGATCCACGCATGCAACGAACCTTCAGGTACTTAATGGTCTACCAAGAGCCCTCGCCCACATGACCCCACATGACATTCGCACAAACCCTAAGGTCATGAGAGCTGTTGGTCCTGGTTAATATCATAGAAACAGTCTAGGGGATGAATAGATTGTTCTTGGTTTCTCGTTTCTTGGTATCACAGAACTTGCACCATTATGGTCAGAATAGGCCTATAGAAGAATAGGTTAATTCTGGTCGAGTAGCCTGCGAAACACACTAAGGCAAGATGCCTTTCTACTTCTCTTAAGGTGAGTTTTGCTGAACACAAAGACCACACTCTTTAAAATAAGATGATTAGAATCCTGTTGCAATAAGTAAAAGCAGTAAGTAATGACACTGAAGATTTTTATAGTGGTTCAACGAACAAAGGTTCCTCTAGTCAACCGTTCCACACACTAAGCTTTTGGTTAATGATTTCAACACTTAGATCCCTAACACTTAAGAACCTCTCAACACGTCTTCTTCAAGTGTAGTGTCCTTGTCACCCAGGATGCAATCCTTTCTTCCTCATGACTGGTTATTTCACCGAGCTTGCTTGAAGTATCCTTATTTCACTGCGGTTACTTTGGCGCCTTCTTATGTAACAGTAAACCTCTAAAAATTGAAAAGCTTTTTATTCCAATCTTTCGTTTGAATTCTTGTAAGAAGAAAGTAGGGTTTACTCTCAAGAATTGTACGCTGGATTTCAAAGTTCGTAGTCGTCCATTTCTTCATTCATACGGAGTATTTTATTTACTAAGTAGCATCTACGTTCCAAACTTCCAATATACTCCGTATATGAGAAAATAAAACGATCCATGCTCTATGATATTATAAAAGACAATATAATTGACATTAAACAAGTGCATCATAATAATCACATACGTTACCGAATATCATAATTGATACATCATATTATGTGAGAGTAGTATTTACTGTATCATATAGTTACAAGTATTCTAACATCGGTAGAGCAGATTAATCTTAATTAACAGCTGTTCTTGAGTGTATTATGATACTAGCGCGGGAACGCGCGTTGCGCGATATCTGTGCCCAATGATAGGAAACAAGCAAAAAATGGAGAAAAAACAGGTTAACCAGAAAGAAGAAACAACCATTCAATCATGCAGGTACACTATTGCATTGTTTAAAAACAAACGAAATGGAAAAGAGTTGTTCAATGATTGTACTAATTGCGGTGACATCAACAATGGGGATGGCAAAATAATTAAGAAAACATAGCAAGAATTTGTTAACATAGCAAGAGTATGGGAACTATATTAAGGATGCCAGAGCAACCCATATTAATAAAAGTATAAATTAAAACTTTAGAAAAGACATAGAATGTAGAAATGTAAAATTGTTGCTGGATAACAAAGTAAAATAAGCTCGTGTGGTCTAAAATGGCTGACTTAATTTAAACAGTTGAAAATATATTCTTTGAAACGAAGTCATCAAGATGAGCAATGGAAGGTCATTGATTTCAGATTAAATAATTGTGAAAGAAATAAATAGTAATGAAAAATAACGATTTCAATTGTAATAAAATACCTATGTAGGTGGAGTGAATCCATAGCAAGGGGCTGAATCATGACTTTGATTTTATGACAGAATTCTCTCTTCCGGAGACTCCAATAAAAGCATAACAGGTTTGATTGCGGTCGGAGTGTTTTATAATCTTTTCCATGAGATTGATTTATGAGCTCCACATGATTAAAAAAACCAGCTAGCACACCACCAACACATGATCGCCCTCCAGGTGCTTCACTACCTTTATCATGCCTTTCTTGAAGCAAAAGATATTAATTCATATCAGCATAGAGAAATAGGCATGACAAATTAATATTATTAACCGAAGTATAAATCATAAACTAATTCTATAAAGAATAATATTATTATAAATAAGCTACTACAAATGTAAAATCAAAAGCTTAACGGAGAAAATAGATTGTTAAACACTTAAACCATTGAAAGAAATGCCTTCTTAATTAACTTTCACGTTTCAACTTTGTCTAAGTTAAGACAGTTAATTCATTTTTTATAATAGTACCAATACAAAGATAACAACTCTTTTAGTCACATGCACTTAAAGCTTAGAAGAATATATTGCATAAAGTTATATCATATAACTACAGCATACACAACATTACATCCAATTATATAGATAAATGGAAATGATGGAACTAAAAGATGATAAAAACAAGATAAATCCTACTTCATAACCAATTTCACGAGAGGGACTCAGAGAATATTGTAGAATAGACTTTTATAAAAAGTTTTAAAAAAGGTACAAATTTGAGGATGGTAAATGACTTACAACAAAAAGAGATGCATATTTGAGGAATTTACGATGACACTCCAATGGCAATGAATTTATGACCGCAACACCTAGGTCACAGTCTCACGGCTCCATAAGATTATAACTACCACTACAAAGGACCTGCAAAAATTGAAGGAAGAATAGCCGGTATCACGGCACTGAGTGAAAGTAAATTCGGAATGAATCAATTCAATTTTTTTGTCATGTCATAAAAAGTAAAAAACCGGTTTAGAGAACACAAATATGAGACAACTTGTTTTGTTAAGAGTGCAGCTGTCACTTGTTAGAGTTGAATGGTGTATCATATTTTTTTATTACACCTTTTGAGTCAAAAAGGTGCATGTTACTTGAGCTGATTGTTGTTGTCAATTTAAATCTTTTGATTACACCCTCTTCCTTGACAACCATCATACTCTCTGCAGAAAGTTCAATTTCAAAGTGTGCGGTATTCACATCAGGGTACTCCCTCAACCGCTAAAGTAAAAGCATACTTCAAACAATAAGTCACTTTAATTTCTTCATAAAATAAACTTCAAAACGGAAGTAAAGGAATGTACCTTTATGAAAGGATCCTTGACCTTGGCATTTAAAGCCATCATTGATGTCAGAAACTGCTTGTAATCTTCAGCCCACATATATTATTATTATATATATGGCATGGATTTGGATCCCGTGTAGTAACTTTGTGGTGAAATTACTACCAAGAAGATCAAATGAAGTTCAGAGTATTATCCCACTTATATGCACAAAGTTCCTACTTTAACACATTAAATGAATATCACAGGATCAAACTCACCAGGATCCAATGGCTCAGCAAATATGTCGTATGCATCTCTCTGGTGAAGAAAAAGTGTGCCATACTACCAAACATGAAAACATTCATAATTAGCTTATCCTAAACATTTAAACTAACATTTAACCTCAAGCTTACCTTATCAAGTGCATTTTATCATCATTGTCAAGAAACACCCATTCTCGTATAGCTGCATCTCTAGGTGCTCCAGCAGCCCAAAACCGTGCCGTTACCACCTGAGAGTACTCTGGAGAAGTCAAGTGTTGTCGGTTCACACGCCCACATATGTATACTTTACTTATGTTTCTCTAAATTCAAAGATCACAAGTAAGCTTCATTCATGCTTCTCTAGAGAAACTTCCATGATTTGGGACGGATGGAGTAACTTTATTTTGGGGGAAGAAAATGGTTTCTATTTTGAAAAAACACATCAAAACAGAAACCTCACAAACTTACAAAAAACACAAGCTGAGGAAAAAATTAGAAGCAAGAGTGAATAAAAAATGGATAAGAAAGGTATGTTAGTTTTATCATAGTTGAAACATATGAAGGTACAAGACACATAAAACCTCACATGCCCACAAAAACACAAGCAGGGGAACAAATTAGAAGCAGAAATGAATGCAAAATTAATATTAAAAAGAAACATATGTGTTCCATATAACAGAGTAAATTAAAAAAAAAACTGGTCACAAAAATTCTAATGAAACTTGATTTTGGTTTAACTTTTTTGGAAAAAATACAAAATTCAGCGTAACTCGATGTCTAGACTGGGTCAGCAGAGAGATGCTGGTCTAGACCTAGGTTCAGCAGACCGGGTTTAATCTGAGTTTTTTCATCCATGAATAAGGAAAGTTAAAGAAAAATGTCACATGATAAACTAACCTCAACCTATAAGCAAGTACTCGTGTGTCTCTCCAAAGCTCTCAGGACCTTCCTTTTCAGCCAAAGAAGATGCCTCAGACCTAAGAGACCACTGCTATTGAAGGAGCATAAGTTAGAATTCAGAACAAGCTTAGAAAAAATAAAAAAACAATGTGCATGAATTGATGAAATTCACTTTTCCCAACAAGGAAAAAATGGATTAGAATATTTTTCATGAAGACCAACAGAAATGTGCCAGATCTCTTTTGCGTGTCTACTTCCAAACAAGCATTCAAAGAGCATTACATCATTATGAACATTTTAGATCCAACCAAAACCAAGGCTAAGTAGCCCATCAGTTGCGAAAAACTGTTCAACAAAATCACAAAAGCATCAGTGAAATAAAACATGCACTGAATCCACATAGGAAAATATTAAAAAGTATCATTGGGAACCTCTTCCTTTGAAGACTTGGAAGATCAAGAGAATGAGAACCCTCTTCTTTCAGCTCCTAAAATATCCAGCCAAAATATGCTTTGTGCTATATAAGATCATAAGTAGATAAGCTCAAGAGATCCATAACAAAAACCATTATTCATCCAAGGTTAAAAGGGCACATTAAAAAGAAACAGAGAGAAACAAAACAACTCCTGTGGTGGCCATCTAAACGCATAAGAACCACTAAGTCTGTCTCCAATTCAGAAACAGGGACTACGCCTCAAACCCATCGTTGGAAAGGGGATGGACAAGGTGATCATTAGTGTATGAGCACTCAGGGCCAGTATTCGGGACAGTTTGCAGTTTGGCAACACTTTCATCTTTTGGAGGATCAGAATGCACTTCATCATTTCCGGATATCAAGCTTAAGCTCGCGTAGGCATCATCACTGTGAACCATATTGGTTCCAGTTACTTTGTGGGCTAAAGTTTCAACATTCCTGTTATCATAGTGTTCAAAGGCATCAACAGAGGCACAATCATGGGACTGCTCTTGATCAGCCATAATATGAGATGATTCATAGTTCAATATGGCATCAACGGTATCAACAGGGGGGGGATCTGTGTAAGCAACATCAATATGGTGGGGAGGAAGTGTTAAGACTTCCAGAGCGTTAACTGGGGCATAGACCTCAGTAGTATTACCAGGGGGCAACCGTGTCACACTCCATTGTGGCAGTATAATCACAGGGGGAAACTGTATCACACGCCACCATGTCACAAAAGGCCTAACAAGATCATCAAAAGCAGCAGTGGGGGGGGGGGGGTCAACACAAGTAATAATAGGGACAGGGGCCTGATTGGGGGCATACTCACAAGCCTGAATATAAGATTTTTCCAAGGCAACAACCTGGGGGGTGATATCAATACCAGCCGGAACATATCCTTCCAGGCTATTGTCATGTAGAGAATGGGGTATCTCATCATTGGCCTTGACAACCTCTGGAGGTTTTCCCAAGGTCCGGGGGACAGTCTGTGTGGCGTATTCCATGATCATTTAAAGGGGCACCAACTCGAGTAGGATCAGTCAGGGAAATCTGGACAGGTTGAGAAATAATTCCCTTACACCCAGAAACCTCAGCAAGATCAAACATCACTGGTTTTGAACAATTTCTGCCTGTATATTCAAAGCGAGAACAAGTGGTGCAGAAAACAGGCAATTTTCGTATGTCACTATTTAAAAAAACTAAAATAACATATGTGTGTGTGTGTGTGTGTGTGACAAACACGTACATGCCGCCTTATGACCCCAAATAGAAAGAGCTACAATTTGATTATCCTCAGAAAACATTTCATCACTGGACAATTCGGGGGCCAATGTAGCATCTGAAGATTGTGGATCAGAAAGAAACTCATCATTTCCAGTTTGGAACTCACAAATTACCAACAGCTGATCAACTCCCTCAGTTACCTCCTTTTCACAGGTAGCCATCGAGGGTTGATCTAAAGCACAAGTTGCCTCAGGGACTGCAGATTGTGTGCAAATAGAGGAACAACCAAAGGCATCACAATTAGCATTAACACATGTTTGGTTAACCTGGGCTTCAACAGGGGAGTTACCGGGGCATTAGCATAAAAGGAATCAGTTATAACATTCACAACCTTGTGTCAAGCAATATCAGTTTCAACCAGCCCAAGATTAGGGGCTTCAAAATCAATGGGTGGGACTTCCATGGACTATTCTAGCACGAGCATGAACAAGTTTAGGAGTTTCAAAATCACAAGCTTAGCTAACTGATAAGTCCGTATTTAGACACGCATTTGATGCGTGTTCGGGTTGGATTTTGATGATTTTCCTAGCTTTAAGGCGATGCAAGTCTCAATTTTGGCTCAAGTTGTGTTTAGCAGGCGTTGGATCAAGTTTCATTGCATTTGAAGTTGATTTGAAGAAGTTAGAGTCCAGCAATCGGCGCTTGAGAGGCATTCGGGAAGGATTTGAAGGCATTCGAGAAAGATTTGGAAGATTTGGAGGCCACCGGGAGATTCGTGACGAAATTCTGGTAAAGAAAGAGCATTTGGATCGACCTCGTAGGCATCCGGGAGCATTCGGAGCAAGAAAACGAAGGAAAAGTGAAGAATAGGGTCAGGCACGCCGTGCCTGGCAGCTAGGCACGCCGTGCCTGAAGCGTAAATTTTCCTAGGAGCTACTGGAGGCCAGGCACGCCGTGCCTGGAAGAAAGGCACGCCGTGCCTGGCATATTTCTAGGAAATTGGCTACTGGAAGCCAGGCACGGTCGTGCCTGGCAGTTAGGCACTCCGTGCCTGGACGCGAAATACGGATTTCTTCCGTAGGCACGGTCGCAGGCACGGTCGTGCCTGGCACCGTGCCTGGCCGCGATTTGTCCTAATTCGACCCGAATTCGTTGTTTTCTATAAATAAGGCCTCCATAACCCCGTTTTGGGGGGTTACGAACATTACGGAGAGGCCTAGGGACGAATTTAACACCGTTTTTACGCTATTTTCTTCCAAGACCCTGGGATTATTTGTAAGTTCATCTTTTTAATTAATGACAATTTATTCTATTCATCTCAATTCTGTTGATTCTTCAATTATGAATTGTGAGTAGTTTAATTAGGGATTTGGGGTTGATGAAGGGGTTAATCATGATTGATGGCTAGATTCTTGTCGGTTTAATTGCATGAATGCCGTTTAATTTGTGTTTGAATAATTTAATTGATATCTCTTGTAACCTAGACTGCAGCTAGAATTACAATTGCATGTAGAATAAATTAAGAGAGATCTAATTTGTTCTAGGACACATTCACACACACTTAATCGTTCACTAAGAGATTAGTAGCGATTAAGGGGCCGTAAGCTCGCTCGTCTTGACAATAACTTAGGATCCTGTCGCATGAGAGATCAGCCTGGTCCCCTAAATTATTGTACTCTACGCCGCGA